TCCCAGCGAGGGGTTCCGGCCATCCCAGGGAGGGGTTCCGGTCATCCCGGTGAGGGGTTCCAGTCATCCCGGCGAGGGGTTCCGGACATCCCAGCGAGGGGTTCCTGACATCCCAGCGAGGGGTTCCGGACATCCCGGCGAGGGGTTCCGGCCATCCCGGCGAGGGGTTCCTGACATCCCGGCGAGGGGTTCCGGACATCCCAGCGAGGGGTTCCGGACATCCCGGCGAGGGGTTCCGGCCATCCCGGCGAGGGGTTCCTGACATCCCGGCGAGGGGTTCCGGACATCCCAGCAAGGGGTTCCGGACATCCCGGCGAGGGGTTCCGGACATCCCGGCGAGGGGTTCCGGACATCCCGGCGAGGAGTTCCGGACATCCCAGCGAGGGGTTCCGGACATCCCGGCGAGGGGTTCCGGCCATCCCGGCGAGGAGTTCCGGCCATCCCGGCGAGGGGTTCCGGACATCCCGGCGAGGGGTTCCGGACATCCCAGCGAGGGGTTCCGGACATCCTGGCGAGGGGTTCCGGACATCCCAGCAAGGGGTTCCGGCCATCCCGGCGAGGGGTTCCGGACATCCCGGCGAGGGGTTCCAGTCATCCCGGCGAGGGGTTCCGGACATCCCAGCGAGGGGTTCCGGTCATCCCAGCAAGGGGTTCCGGCCATCCCGGCGAGGGGTTCCGGTCATCCCAGCGAGGGGTTCCTGACATCCCGGCGAGGGGTTCCGGCCATCCCGGCGAGGGGTTCCGGACATCCCAGCGAGGGGTTCCGGTCATCCCGGCGAGGGGTTCCTGACATCCCGGCGAGGGGTTCCAGCCATCCCAGCGAGGGGTTCCGGTCATCCCAGCGAGGGGTTCCAGCCATCCCAGCGAGGGGTTCCGGACATCCCGGCGAGGGGTTCCGGTCATCCCGGCGAGGGGTTCCTGACATCCCGGCGAGGGGTTCCGGTCATCCCGGCGAGGGGTTCCGGCCATCCCGGCGAGGGGTTCCGGACATCCCGGCGAGGGGTTCCGGTCATCCCAGCGAGGGGTTCCGGCCATCCCAGCGAGGGGTTCCGGCCATCCCGGCGAGGGGTTCCGGTCATCCCAGCGAGGGGTTCCGGCCATCCCAGTGAGGGGTTCCAGACATCCCGGCGAGGGGTTCCGGACATCCCAGCGAGGGGTTCCTGACATCCCGGCGAGGGGTTCCGGACATCCCGGCGAGGGGTTCCTGACATCCCGGCGAGGGGTTCCTGACATCCCGGCGAGGGGTTCCGGCCATCCCAGCAAGGGGTTCCGGCCATCCCAGCGAGGGGTTCCGGTCATCCCAGCGAGGGGTTCCGGTCATCCCAGCAAGGGGTTCCGGCCATCCCAGCGAGGGGTTCCGGTCATCCCGGCGAGGGGTTCCGGTCATCCCGGCAAGGGGTTCCATTCATCCCAGCAAGGGGTTCCGGCCATCCCAATAAGGGGTTCTGTCCAGCCCAGTGACAGACTCTGGCCAGCCCAGTGGGGGGCTCCGGCCATCCCGGTGAGGGTCCCCACCACCACAGCACCAAACCCAGCACCTGGGCAGCGGTGGGAGTCGCATCTTCATCTGAACACGTATGTTCCTCGACAGAGCCATTAAACGCTACCAGCTCCCGCCCTCAGGATTCATTCCGCGCCGGGCGATGAAGGCGGGAGATGAAAGGCTGTAGGATTTCATTACGCTGAATTGTCAGTTTGTCATTTCCCATCTCGTTGCTCAGGTGCCTTGGGACCAATTTGCGCTCAGGGGGATGGAGATGGATCTCCCCGGCGGAGCCGCGCTACCTACGTGCTCCCCACTACGGTGGGCAACGGGTCGAAGCCCCCAACGCTGCTGAGCCCCAGCGCTCTGCCCTCGAGCTGCCAGACCCATGCACAGCACCTCATGGGTACAGCCTTCCAGAATGGCCCCAAATCAACCCAAAATAGATATATATATATAGAGAGAGAGAGAGATTGCTCAGGCTTCATCTTTGCAAGCGCAGGTAGGATCGGGGTCTCCCACGCTGAGCCCCCCGGTGCAGAAAGCTCCAGACCACAGGAGCTGGAAATTAAAGGGGAGCAGGAAGAGCAGTGAAGGGTCCCCGGGTGCTGGGGGGGAGCTCGGCGGGGGGGCGAGAGCAGCCCCCTGCAAGCAGCAAAGCACCGAGTCGGGGATGGGGGAGAGGGGCACGCAGCGGAGCAAGGTGGATGGTTTGCCCGGCTCCAGCTTTTTAGGTCAGTTGTTAGGTTTTTTGATTTTTTTTTGTGTGGTTTTTTTTGTTTTTTTTTTTTAAACCAAGGATCTGGAAGGGGCGGGGCGGTAAACGTTCCATTAATTGCATTCACAGGTAATTAAGCAACTGCATAAGCAGGGCCAGGGATGAGAACGCAGAAGGGCCTGACGAAAGATGAAACCCAGGGAAAAAGAACCGAGGTTTCACTGCGGCACCCCCCAACGAGGGTGGCCGAACGCGGCCCTGCACGGTGCAAGGGCACCCACGGGCCACCAAGGGTGGGAGAGCTCGCATGGGCGCCCCGGGGGCCGAAACCCTCCGGGTTTGGGGATGCCCGAGCAAGAGGCCGGCACGGCGGCAGCAGGCCAAGGCCCCAGGTGGGTGTTTTCTGAATCTCATCACTAGAGCCATCGCGGCCGCGCAGGCTCCCGCCCTGAGCCCGGCTGCTCCAGCTCTTGGAGGAGGAGGAAGGAGAGGAGGAAGATGGAAGCAGCTCTTGCCCCTGCAGCGGTGACCGGGCGTCGTGCTGGTGAGGATGGGAAGTTTCAGCAGAGGGTCCGGCAGCAGGGCCCCGGCCCCCCCAAACCCTGGATGCAATCTAACCTTGCAGATGTTCCCAAATCCCGAGGCCGCTCCCTGCAACGGGCTCCCCAAGGGGGAAGCCAGACGCAGACCAGCGACATGGCTGCGATCCGGTGACTTTAGGGTGCGGGGGGACACGTGCAGCGAGAGACCCCAGACTCGGGGAGATTTGGGGGCATCCCCCGGGCAGCACCGAGCTCCCCCGGGCAGCTCCCCATCAGGCAGGGGGAAGGCAACCGCCCGTGCGCCGGGGCCGCAGAGCCAAAGCAAGTGCAGGATTTTACCGGAGCGGGAGTTGGAGGGGGGGGCAGCCACCTTTCTGCAGTCTCCTTGGAGACCACGAAGAAACCGGCGCTCCTCCCCGCAGCGCCGCACGGTGCTGGGGGGGGGGGCACGACAGAGCAGGTCCTGTGTGTGTGTGTGTGTGCGTGTCCATCACCAGCACCGGTGGCCGTTTCGCAGCCACCCCCCCGTGCCCTCTCCCCGCCGGGCAAGCGCGGCTCGCAGCGGCTCCCGTCCACCCGGCACCGCCGCCAGAGAAACAGCGGGAGGAAGAGGCTAATCTGGGAAGTTATTCATAATTCAGTGTGTACAAAACAAGGCGGCATCCTAGGAGGGAGGAATTTCCAAATCACCGTTCCCACAGCAACCCGGGCTCTGCCCCTGCGCGCACCGACAGCTCGGGGAGCCGCGGCATGCGGTGCCGTCGCCTGCCAGCGCAGCGAGGCCAAGCTGAGCTGGTGCTCGGAGCATCTGTGCCATTTCAGGGGGGGGGAAAAAAAAAAAAAAAAAAAAAACCAGCCCTGGAAAAGGCGGCTTTCGTGTAATCCTGGGTGAAGGTTGGCTTTCCGCTCCCAGCTGGGAAGCCCTCTGCTCGCTCGCGGGCGGCAGCGCTCCTCGCCATCGCAAGAGGAGAAGGTTTCTGCTAGGAACAATCCGGGTGCTCGGTGGGGGTCTCAGCAGCTCTCGAGTGCATCAACCATTAGGGGGGAAAGAAAATAAATAAAGCAGCAGCGAGCAGATCAATCCCTGCCCTAGGGAGCTTTTGGCTGGTTTTAGATCGGCTGCTGGAGGCGAAGCCGGGCAGTGCCGGGCCCCCGCCGCCACCCGCTCCGCGCCGAGAAAGGGACACGGGGCTCAAAGCGCCGTCCCGGCTCCGGGCTCAGCGGAAGCTCTTTGAGCAGAGGTGAAGGGGACTCGGCGTGTGACCTGCAGCCGGGCGGCAGAGCTTTGTTTTGGGCGCTTTTATGTCATCGCCGGGCGCGGGGGTCTGGAGGTCCCGGGCGCGCCGACTCGCAAGATGCTCGAAGCAAGCAGAGCGGCGACCGAACCGTGCACGAACAATGCGGCGTTTTGCAAAGACCTGCAGGGCCTGGGATTTCCCCATCAGGTCGTGACGCCGCAGGTCTGGGCGAGTCAGACCCCGGCGGCGCTGAGAGCCGGAGGACAGGGGAGCTCGCTCCTCCTGCAGACAGGGAGAAGGGAGGGAAGCGCACCCCGACCCCAGCCAGCCCCACGGCGGAGGGGAGAGACGTTCGGGGCGGCACGGCGGGGAGGAAAAAAGGAAAACCAAAGGGTTTTTTTTACACTTTGCACCATCTCCAGCTTCCCCCCCGCCCCAGCCCAGCGACGGGCAGACGCCAGGCCGCAGGGGAAGGGAGGGCAGAGCTGCTGCTGCGCTGCGCGAGCCCGAAGCCCGCGGCTGGCAAAGGACCCGAGGAGGCCGAGCGGCAGCTCCCCCGCTGCGCCCGGTCACCAAGGGGGGACACAACGGGGAAGGGTCACCCATCCGCCAGCACATCCCCGAGCAGCATCCCACCGCACATCGTCCGCAGCCCCACGCGCTGGAAACGAGGCTCTCCCCCCTCCCCGGAGCAGAGAGCCGCAACGGCACCCACCGTCCAGGGTGGGGGGAAACTGAGGCAGGGGATGGGGGAGGCATCGGTCACCCTCAGAGCGCACGCTCAAAGCCACCCCAAGGCCTCCTGCATCCCGCGAGATGGGGCTCCCCCAAGAAAAAAAGGGGGTATTTGGCTGGGGGGGGGGGGGGTGTCAGGCCAGATAGAAGAGGAGCCTCACGGGGAGGGGACCCCATCCGGGGTCGGTCACGGCTGCTGGCGATCGCTGCCCAGCGGAGATGCTGCACTGCCGGGGTGCAGAGCATTGCCCCCTCCCCATCTCGCCCCGCGTCCCCACGGTCACCTGCGTGCTGTCCCCCTCCAGCCGGGGGGGTCGGATGCTGGACAGGTGAATGGTTTTGTGGTCCCCAGAGTTCAGCTTCACCACGATGGCGTCCGCGTTCAGCACCTGCATCACCTGGGGAGGGAGAGAGGCCAAGGTGAGCGCCGTGCCCGCAGGCAGCACGAGCCCCGGCTCCAGCACCCACTGACAGCACAAACCGAACAGCCTCAACCCCATCGGGGTGCCCGGGGTGGGGGGGGGGGGTCCCGGCGCATCCGCGGCCCTGCTCTCAGAGCCCCAGGAGCTCAGCGCCGGTCGGAGCTCCGGATGGCGACACCGCAGCACACCAGCACGTCACCAGGCATGTGCCGTCCTTTGCTGGGGCTCAGCCCCGCAGGGCTTCACTCCAGAAACAAAACCAGAGAGGGGATGGGACCCCCAGCATCGGTACCGGACGATGGACGAGTGCACGGAGGGGAGGGAGTGAGCACAGCCCGCGGCGGAGACTCTTCCACCCCACGATCGTGCAACAGCATGTCCTGGCTAGCGGTTCTCCACGCACCCGGGGAGCAAATTAATTAGAAAAATCGGTGGCAGAGTCAGGCAGGGGCGTGCGGGCAGGAGGAGGACAGCGGGGCTCGGAGCACGCTGGATTAATCCGCTCGGTTTCCATGAAACTCTGCTCTCCAACCTGGGCTGAGCGGCAGCAGGCAGAGCGGGACGAGGCACCCGGGTGGGACCCTCCCCTGCCCTCTCCCAGCACAAACCCAGTCCCCCCAGCGCAGAAAGTTCCCGTTGTGGCTCAGCCACGACAAGCCCAGGGAGCAGAGCCCCACACAACCCCCCCAGAGCCGACCCAGAGCTCGGGGGGGGGAAGCGGAGGGGAGGGGGCACAGACTTGCTCCGCTTCGCAGCACTTTTTGCCCCAGCAAGCCCATCGGTCCCTCAAAACACGTTTAGCCAAAGGGATCACAGGATTATAGGAATTAAAATTCAAGCAGACGCCAAGGACTGCCAGCGCTCCTCTCGGCACAGCAACCCCCCCCCCCCAGGGGATGTCCCTCTCCTGGGACCCGCATCCTTCGTTTCTCCGAGGCAGAACGGAGCCCAGAGCGGTTTGCATGCTCAGCAGAGTAATCAAATCTCATGCTTCAGGGCATCCTCGCTGCTGGGGGGGGGCAGGGGGGGCCAGGCTGGGACCCCCCGCAGCGCGTTGGGCATCCATCCATCCCTTCCCTTGAGCAGAAGGCTTAGAAAATGCAAGACGTGAAGGTAAAAAAAACCTGCAGCCGCGGGAGCTGCGGGTCGGATCCGGGGGGCAAATCCTGCGCTACGTGACACATCCGTCAGGCGCACGGCGCGCTCCCGCGTCGGAGCCGCGGCCAGGTCTCATTAGCTCTCTGGCTCCCACCAGCAGACAGCCACCAGCTCCCGGCACAGCCCAGGCTACGTGCGGGGGCCAGCAACTGGCACCGGGGACTTGCCAAGCCCCTCCGGCCCCCAGCATCCCCTTTCCTGGCGGAATTAACTGGCAGGGCCCTTCAGCAGGCGATGGGTCCCTGCCCGGGCGTGGGGTGCTGCAGGACGCGGCACCTGCGAGTCCCGGGCAGGACAGGGCAGGGCAGCAGCAGCCGAGGGTCATCCCCAGGCACCCACTGCTCCTCGCTCCTCCTTGGGCACCCACTCTCTTCCCCAAGCACCCGTTCCCTTCCCCAAGCATCCACTCCCCTTCCTTGGGCACCCATTCCCTTCCTCAAGCACCCACTCCCCTCCTTGGGCACCCATTCCCCTTCTTTGAGCACCCATTCCCTTCCCCAAGCACTCATTCCCTCCTTCCTCAAGCACCCACTCTCCTCCTTGAGCACTCACTCCTCTCCCTGGGAACCCATTCCCTTCCTCAAGCACCCACTCCCTGCCTTGGGCACCCGTTCCCTTCCCCGAGCACTCATTCCCTTCCTTGAGCACCCACTCTTCCTCCTTGAGCACCTATTCCCCTTCTTGAGCACTCACTCCTCTCCTTGGGCACCCATTCCCTTCTCCAAGCATTCATTCCCTTCCTTGAGCACCCACTCCCCTCCTTGGGCACCCATTCCCCTCCTTGGGCACCCACTCCCTTCCTCGAGCACCCACTCCCCTCCTCGGGCAGGAGCAGCAGCCCTGGCTGGGCAGCATCACCCTGTGATTTGCAGCCCCCTCCCCAGGGACAGGGGGGAACACGGTGACAGCGACAGCAAAGCGGGAGCCTCAGCACCACCTCAGAGGCCGTGCCATTTTTCTTGCTAACAATTTCTCAGCTTGCTGTGGCCAGCATCCTTCATCCAATATTTATTGTGGCTTCACCTGCCTCAGAAAGGCACTTTGATAAACAGATTGAAAGGACTTTTTTTTTTTTTTTTTTTTACAAACCTCTGCAGCTACTTCTTGCAGAGCCTGCAGGTTCCAGCCCTGCTTCCCCAAAACCCCTGGGGACCCAGCCTTCACCCCACACCAGCCAGGTGCAGGGAGGGGGAGCTGGGTGCTGCCCCTGTGCGCTCCAGCAACACCCCCCTCCGATCCCTGGCCAGGCTTGTCCCCCCTTGTCCCCATCACTGCCTCCCCTGGGGACAAGAAGGTCGGAGCAGTGCCACGTTGCTATTTTTCACGCAATAAATTTTCCTCGCTGCGAGCGCTGATCCCACCGAGGTTTCCAATTTTCCACCCCGGGGCTTTGCTCGCCCTGGGGGCCTGCCCCCACCCCTGGCATCGCCCCAGCAGCTCCCCTGGGTGCTCACGGGCCGAGGGCCCCTTGGGGACGGTGGGGACGTTCCCCCCAGCTGCCACTGCGCCCCCCCCTCCCCACGGCAGCCTGCTCCGCCGTAACGAGGGCAGCTCGTTAGCTCTCCTGGGCGAGGGCTCAGGGACGGGGAGCAGCCCAAAGCCAGGAGCGACCTGCACCCCAACCTTGCAACACAGGGACGGTGGCACTTTGGGAGCCCAGCACAGAGGGAGAGGCCAGTGCTGGCGCCCCCCCCCCCCCCGACCAGGAAATTGCTTTTTGAGGGGGTTTTGGTGGAGTCTGGGCTCAGCTCGGCAGGAGAGCAGCTCCTGGGCTGGCTCTGGCAGATCCCACCGAGATCTGAGATGATTTGGCCATGATGAAGTGTTTTACAAAAGGGGTGGGAGGGAGGGGGAAAGAAAAGAGAAAAAAAAATAGAAAGGAAAAAACAAAACAGAAAAGAAAACAAAACAGAAGAGAAAAAAAAGAAAAGAGAAAAAGGGGGAAAGAAAAGAGAAAAGAGAGAAAAAGGGGGAAAGAAAAGAGAGAAAAAGGGGGAAAGAAAAGAGAGAAAAAGGGGGAAAGAAAGAGAGAAAAAGGGGGAAAGAAAAGAGAGAAAAAGGGGGAAAGAAAAGAGAGAAAAAGGGGGAAAGAAAAGAGAGAAAAGAGAGGAGAAAAGAGAGAAAAGAGAGAAAAAGAGAGAAAAGAGAGAAAAGAGAGGAAAGAGAGGAAAGAGAGGAAAGAGAGGAAAGAGAGAAAGAGAGGAAAGAGAGGAAAAGAGAGGAAAGAGAGGAAAGAGAGAAGAGAGGAAAGAGAGGAAGAGAGGAAAGAGAGGAAAGAGAGGAAAAGAGAGGAAGAGAGGAAAGAGAGGAAGAGAGGAAAGAGAGGAAAGAGAGGAAAGAGAGGAAAGAGAGGAAAGAAAGAGAGGAAAGAGAGGAAAGAGAGGAAAGAGAGGAAAGAGAGGAAAGAGAGGAAAGAGAGGAAAGAGAGGAAAGAGAGGAAGAGAGGAAAGAGAGGAAAGAGAGGAAAGAGAGGAAAGAGAGGAAAGAGAGGAAAGAGAGGAAAGAGAGGAAAGAGAGGAAAGAGAGAAAGAGAGAAAAGAGAGAAAGAGAGAAAGAGAGAAAGAAGAGAAAAAGAGAGAAAAGAGAGAAAGGAGAGAAAGGAGAGAAAGGAGAGAAAGGAGAGAAAGGAGAGAGAGAAAAGGAAGGAGAGAAAAGGAAAGAGAGAAAGAGAGAAAAGAGAGAAAAGGAAAGAGAGAATGAGAGAAAAGAGAGAAAAGGAAAGGGAGAAATGAAAAGAGAGAGAAAAGAAAGAGAGAAGAGAGAGAAAAGAGAGAGAAAAGAAAAGAGAGAAGAGAGAAGAGAGAGAGAAGAGAGAGAGAAGAGAGAGAAAGAGAGAGAGAAGAGAGAGAGAAGAGAGAGAGAAGAGAGAGAGAAGAGAGAGAGAAGAGAGAGAGAAGAGAGAGAGAGAAGAGAGAGAGAAGAGAGAGAGAAGAGAGAGAGAAGAGAGAAGAGAGAGAGAAGAGAGAGAAAAAGAGAGAGAAAAAACAGAGAAAAGAGAGGAAAAAAAAACAGAGAAGGGGGAAAGAGAAAAAACAGAGAAAAGAGGGGGGAAAAATAAAAAAAAAAAAAAAAAGAAAAAAAAGGAGAGAAAAGAGAAAATAAAGCAAAAAAGAGACAGAGGCCCAGCTCATGCGGAGCCGCTCCTCCAGCCTGCGAAGCCCCAGCCCGTCCCCGCCAGCGCCTGGATGTGGCCAGGGGCTGCCCCCCCAGCCCCAGCCTGTCCCCGGCCCCCCCGGGCCGGAGCCGGCCCGCCGCAGAGCGAGGGGGCAGCACAGCCTGGGCGCCCCCCCCCCCCCCCACCCCCCCCCCCCCCCCCCCCCCCCCCCCCGGACAAAGCCGTATTACAAACAGCTTTTGGCAGAGGATAGCTTTCAGCGCAATGTATTCAACTCTAAGCAGCGCTGTCCCAAATTCCCGGGTGCTCTAAGACAAGCTGACGTAGGGAATTCAGGAGAAAGCCTCCAGCCTCTTCACATTTTTATTCCACCGCTTTTCTTCTTGCCACTCGCGGCAATCAAATCCACAATCGAGGCCAAGCCTTAATTTCTCCCCAAACCAACCCCTGCGCTCAAAGCGCCGGCAGCTGACCGCGCCGGCAGCGCGATCCAAAATTAGCCGGAGCCGATTTGCTGCGGTTGCTCAATGGTGCAAAGACAGGTTGGGATGATCTTCCTCCTCCTCCTCCTCCTCCTCCCGCCCCCTGGCAGTTCCTACGTCAGCTCTGCCGCTGCAAACCAGCACCTCGGCGCTCTGCCGAGCACGGAGGCGGCTCCAGCGCCGGAGCCATCGCTGCCCGCCTGCCTGCGGGTGCTCAGGCCCCTCCGGAGGGTGCTGGGAGGAGGGATGGGGCTCCGGGGCCCCTCGGGGACACCGGGCACGTGCCCGGCTCCGGGTTCAGCTCTGGCACGCCGAGGCGTGCAGGCATTTGGCCTGATTTTCCCCGTCACTTCTAATTCCCGGGAAGGGAAAGCGACCAAAAATTGACACCGCAAAACCGACAGCGCCCGGGGAGGCTTCGGCTGACGGCTCCCTAAATGCTGATTTGCACGGGCCTGCATAAAGAGCAGGTTTGAACCAAAGGCAGGGAAATTCTGCGTCTCCTCCCCAGGGAAGCGGGACGGCACCACCGTGTTCACGGCGTTTGGGGGGCTCTTACGGCAGAACCAGCGCGGCCAAACCGCGCCGGGGCGGACCCCGGGGGGGATTAGTGCTCCCAGATTGCAGGGGGGGGACCCCGGCAGAGAGAGGGGCTGTGCCCAGATTTGGGGGGGGCCTGCACACCCTGGGACCCTAAGCAGGACGCAGCCTGCTCCTAACGGGGAGGGGGGGGGGGCCCCTCTTAATTCCCACCGCTCCCGGGGAGGGGGTGGCTGCCCGGTCTGGAGGTGGTGCTGAGCCCCAAAAGCCGCCTTCGCCGCTCAACCGCCAGCGTCCCCAGCCCGTGAGGTGAGCCGTCCCACAAAAGAACGGGCCCCTTGGAAATGCCAGGAGCGTCCAGCCGCCCCCTCCCCAGGCCTCCGCAAGCTGCTGAGCAAGGCGTGACTAAGGGCCCCGTGCCGGCAGCAGCAGGATGGTGCTTCCCAGCCTGCCAGCTCCTTCGCCCCGTGCCCGCAGGGCGAGATGCTGGGGTGGCATTTCTCAGGGAGCCAGCAGCAACCACACACACCCCCACACACACCCCCCAAACCACCTGGGGAAGCTGGTGGGAGGTTTGGGGGGGACCTCTGTCACCCCTACTCCCACTCGTATCCGAGCTGGCGGACGGGGAGCTGCAGAGAAGGGCGTCATCTCCCAGTTGTAAGGAACTGAAGGAGTTAATGCCTCCCATATTCCTCGACACACAGAGCCTCAAGGACAAGTTGTGGCCTTTGTGATTTGTCTAAGGAGCTGCCCAAAGCAGTCGTGGAGTGTATCTGCTGCTGTAGTGCCAAATTCCTTAGATAAGCTCAAAGGAAACTGTCCTTTTGGGCCAAAAAGACTGATAAGCCAAAGGCTGTTCAATTACCCAAGAAACAAAAACTGAGGAAAAAGTAAAGGGGGGGGGGAACGACCTCGTCTCTCAAGGAAATGAGTTTGTGGAACACCCACCTCTCTTTCTCTAATATGCAAATCAGCTGATAAAATGAACTTAAAAGGTGATGGAACACTTTGCTGTGTGTGCACCCACCACCCAAGATAACAAGACCTGAGACCCGGCTGGAACCTGGGGGGTGAACCAGACTCTTTTTTTGATTTTTTCTTACAGATTTACAACAGACCACATTACTCACTACCCTTTTCCAAGTTTCAGTAGTTTCCACAGCAAGTAAAACATTTTAACCAGTCGGCTGGTGTCATTTCACCTCAATTTAACCCGAGGGGACCACAGAACCTTTAGGACTCGCTGGGCTCCCAGTCAGGGTCGGAACACGGAGCCAGCAGCCCCCAGCCTCATCCCACCGGAGCCCAGTGACCACACGGCACCGGAGAGCTCATTACTGGCTGCAGCTGAGACCAGGCCGACCACAGGAGCTGCTGGTTCTGCCCTGCCCGGCAGCTCCAGAGCCCCCCTCGCCAGCCCGGGCCGGGGTGACCTGCCCCAAGCCCTGCCCCGCTGCCTGCGAGGGTCTGGCTACGACCCCGCCAGGGCTGGAAGAGCTTCCAGGGCTGGAAGAGCTTCCAAGGATGCTCCGGGGCAGCATCCAACCCAGGCGCAGCGGGGGTCGAGCTGACTTCCCAGCTGCTGCACCAGTTTCCACCAGCGCCGGAGCCTCCCCCCCCCCCCCCCAGTGCCGCTCTGGGCGAGCCGGCAGCACCATCTAGTGGGCTGCTCCCCCCCCCCCCCAAGCCGTGCAGGACCCCCATGCCACGCCCGGACCCCCCACCCCATCGCACCCCGAGATGCTCCTCGCAGGGGTGCCCACGCAGCTTCCCACCCACCCTCCCTCCTGCATCGGCTACGCTCTCCGAACCGTGCCGGCGCGGCGGTAAGCGTTGGCACCGCGGCGGTGGGGCAGCCCCGGAGCTGCTCTCACGCGTGGGGCCAACCCCAGAGCTGGGTCACTGCCGAGGGGCTCTGCCCCACGGAGCCCCAGCACCAGCAACCCGCTGGGATCAGGGCAGGGGCTGTGGCTGACACCGCGCTGGAAACACCGGCAGGAGAGGGAAGGGAAACTCTGCCGAGCCCAAGGAGAGCGGCAGGCAGGGCGAGCGCGTCCCTGTGGCACGCTGTCGGCCGGAGCGAGGCCCCACGGCCCCCACCAGCCCTTCCCCACGCGCCGTAGCCCCTTCCCCTCCGCTTCGTTTCACCAATTCCCACGCCAAGCCTCCCCGAGATCCCGGCGCACGCCTGGGCGGCCGTGCACCACGGCCCGTGGCGGGGACATAGCCAAAAAAAAAACCTCCAGGGTTTCTCCAAACACACGTCGAGGCCGGCAACGGCAGCCGGGCCCCCTCTGCCCCCGCTCACCTTGGCTACGAACTGCTTGTCCTTCTGATCCAGGTTTGCCGTGGGGGCCACGTAGTCCCTCCAGATCCTCAACTTGCGCTCTTTGGCGAACCTGGCAGGAGAGGGGGGGACACAGGCGTGACGCCCCGGGCCGGCGTTAAATCACCCAGCAAAGCCCTGGGCAGAGGCAGCGGGGCGGGCGCAGACTTGCAAGGAGAAATCGCATCCACCTCCCACCCGGGAGAGCACTGGGATGAGGAGAGGGGCTGGGGGCACCCCAGGGGTGCAGCCCGGAGCGCCCCAGCACCCAGCCCTGCGGCTCCCGGCGTGGGACTCACCTTTCGGCCGTGCGCAGCTTGTCAGCGCCGCGGGTGTAGACGGCGATGGACCAGTCCACGCAGCGGGCAAAGCCCTCCTTCAGCAAGAGCTCGGTGATGTTCCCGTTCTGCCGGGGAGGGGAGGAGGCGCGCGCTCAGCCCACGGGTGGGGGGACACCCCTGCCCCTTCCAGGAGAGCTGGCCTCCCCTCCTCCCCAGCGGGGAGCTCACTCGCCCCACTCAGCCCATCAAGATGTCACAGGGCCCCAAAGAGCCCTGGCAAGGCCTGGTCACAGCCACCGGAGACCACGCCAGCGCAACCCACGGGGGCTGCTCAGCTGGACCCCGGCCTCCCACACCCCCCAGTAAAGAACCCACAACGCCAGGCCGCCCCGAGCCCCCTGGACCTCGCACCACCTTCAGTATCTCCAACAAGTGATGACAAGCGGTCTGCCAGCCCCCCCTCCCACCCCTCTTCCCCCGCCAGCCCCACTTGCCGGGTGCAGGATGGTGCCCAGGATGTTCTGGTTGTGGCAGCTCTCCAGGACGATCTGCACGTCCCTCTGCAGCAGCCGCGACTCCGTGAAGAACTTGGCTTCGGCTGCAAACGGCTCGGGGACTTCGGGGCGTCCGCCTCCCGCTTGAACGTGGGGCACTGTGGCGGGAGGGGAGGGTCAGGGCACGGGCTGGCCCCTAAAACCTCAGCAAAGGGGTGGGAAACCTCCTGGGGGAGGAAGGCTGCCCGCACCCCCAGGCTGTGGCTTCTGGGAGAGACATCCTGATGCTTTTGTGCCGCGTTGCACCGACACAGCCCTTTACCCGCCTCACTAAACGTTGCTGGGGGCAAACCAGGGTACGGGGAGCGGGGCGGCCGAGCTCACCAGCCCACGCACCAGCAGCCACCTCGATGCCAGCAGAGCGGGGACCCCCACTCGCCCAGCGACCAGGGGGTGCTTGCAGGGTGTCCGGCAGCACGAGCTCAAGCGCCTGCCGGGCCTGGCAGCGCGGAGATGGCACCCACCTCACCCAAACCCGCTCCCGTCCCCGCGGTGACGCCCCGCACCGGCACGCACACCACCACGGGCTGCAACCGGCCTGGTCCCGGAGGGTGCAGTGCAGGATGATGCGGTGGGTGACAAGGCAGCAGAACCCCTGCCTCCATCCCTCCTGGCCCTGGTCCCGCGAGCCCGGCAGCCCGGCCAGCAGGCAAGTCGGGGCACAAGCCCTGCACCGGAGCCGAAAGGGCACCGAGGACGATGCACGATGAATAATGATGCAAATTTAAGAGGGAACTTGCTGCAAAGAGGATTGCTGAGCGTGCCTGCCAGGGGTGGGGCAGGCAGCTGAGCCTCACCTTGATCCCCGAAAGCATGACGGTGACCAGGTAGTAATCGGGAGGAGGAGGGCTCTCACCACGCTGCCGTCCCGGACGTGCTCTATGATGGCTGTGGAGGAAAAGCAGAGAGGTGGTCCTGCTGCGGAGGGGCTCGGTGGGAGCCACGGAGCCAGAGGACAGGGACAACCCCAGCGCCCGGCGGCGAGGGCCTGAGTCGGTGCCAGCTTACCATTGACTGGCTTCTGGTGCATGGAGTCCACGAAGTGCCGGGGGTTTTCGATCGTGTACTTGAGATCCCGGATGGTGTGGGAGCCCGTCCCCTCGCTCCACATCCCCTTCTTGGCACTCTTGGCCTGCTCCTCCAGCTCTGCCAGCCTGCTCTGCTCGGGGCTGCAAGGACAGGGCGAGACGGGGTGAGGCCAGGCTGGACACTGCCGGTTCCTGCATGTTTTATCACCGGGAACATCCATCTTCCAGGCACTTTTCTGGATGCTTTAGTGATTTGATCACTCACGTCTAGAAAAGGTACCGCCTGGGTGAGCTGGTGAGCAATGCTTCAGTGCTGCTGACAGCAACACATGGTAAATCAAAGCAAGTTTCTCCGGCCCCGCACCTGCGCCATCGATGTCCAAACACCTGCCGCTGGAAGCACCAGCTCCAATAAACCGGGGAGGTTTAGCCCATGAAACCCTTCCCCCGGCTGCTTTTGGGCACCACGATGGAAAGGCAGCCCCGACTCCTGGCGTGGCAGAGCCGCTTGGGGAGAGGAGGGATGGCTCACGTACCAAACCACAGACCGTCCCCAGTCCTGCACACGCCAGTGCAGCTGCATCACCCTCCCCGTGCCGACGGCAAGCCCTGCCAGCACCACCATAACTCATTAAACAAAATTTGGTGCTATTTGTGGCTTAGCATTCTTCAGCTCAGGGGAAAGCTGCGACCTGATGAATCCCAAATTCTCCGCAGAAGCGCCCGACTGAAGCAGCTGACAAACGAGTGGCTGAGAGTCACCTCATGTACTCGTTAATTAACGCACCCTTTGAATTAGGAGAGCAAACGCGGAGCAGCGACGTGCTCCAGGAGGTATTTAATTGCAGGAAGCTCAGTCCTGGGCTAACGGTGCGGCGCCAGCCTGGTCGTGCTGGCGATGGGGCTCGTGGCAGCGGCGTGGCCCAGCCTGGGGGGGTTGTATGTGCTCCCACACTCATCGCAGGGCGACCGGCTTCACCGGACGTGCTGCCCACTGGGTGCACCCGCAAGAGGCTGAAGGAGTGGAGCAGAACCCCACGAGTCCGAAACCACCAGGAGGTCCCTGGGGCTGCCCCGGGACAAGCAGCAGACGACAGCTCCCAACCTACACCCCGATTTCCTTCTCTCCTGCACAACAGGCCAGAAGTGCCTGAAAAGTCCCAGGCGGCAAATGCGTGAGGGACCTCAGCCACGTCTCTGGCTGGAGCGAGGGGCTCCCCTGCTCTCCGTAGCTGCCCGGCCACGCAGCCGTCCTCTGAGGGGATCGGCGGCACGGCCGCAGCCGCCGCGCTCCTGCAGCAGAGCCAGGGGAGGGGGCTTTGCCTGGGAATGCTGGCTGGAAAGCAGAGACGAGTGGAGAACCACAGGAGCCAGAGCCGAGGTCCTGCCTGGCCCATCACCCGGCTGCCAGGGGAGCACCAGCCCCGGGGGTCTAAGGGAACGTCACGGCTTCCTCTGGGCATCACCGCTGCACGGCCACGGGCCGGCGACCAGCCCTGCGAGGGCTCAGGGTCCCCCTTCGGCATGAGCCCCAGCAGGGTCCCAGGGGACATTTCCAGTGGAAACCAGTGCAGAAACCCCAGCAGACTGGCAGGCGGAGGCTTTCCTCCGTTGCGCCGCCTCGATGCAGGAGGTGCAGAACCAGGATGGGGCGGGTGAGAGCTGACTCTGGCGGAACCCCCTTCACCCTACAAACACCAGGCTCTGCCACCGGTGCTGTGCCCCCTCTCCCCAGCACCTACTTGCCCCCCAGCCCGCAGACTGTTGGCTTCTGCAGCCCCTCCAGAGCAGGCACGGTGGCTTTCACACCTCTCCCAGGCACCACTGCCCTGCGGCGGTCCCCGACTGTGCCAAAACAGAGCTGCTGAACTCCGCCAAGGGCACCCAGAGCCCGCCAGCACCAGGCAGAGAGCACATTCCCCAAGGGCTGGGGACAGGGACCGCGGCCCTGGGCAGGCAGCAAGCGTGACCTGCTGGCACTTGAAGCTTCAGCACTGGCAAGCCTGGGCACAAAATATCCCATCCACGCCCTGGGCAATGCGCGCTCTGTTTACGCCAACGTACCTGTTTACAGGCTGCACTACAGAAAACACTGGGTGGAAAACATCCAAGTGTGCCAGGAACAGTTTTAGGAAGCGACACGGGCAAAATTCCAGCCCAGCAGGCGCAAGGGATGGAAATAGCATCCGACTGGTATTTATAGCATTTCCACAGCAAAAACTCGCACCCCTGGAACAGGGTGGCCGGTGCCCCAGGCTGTGCGCGGGGATGCCAGCACGCCGCAGCTGAGGCCAGGCTACTCCCTTGCTCCTGGACACGACGGGGCTGTGGCAAAGAATCGGCTCCAACAGCACGACATGGCACTGCCCAGATGTAGAACGAGGGGCAGGAACATCACAACATCACCTCTCTAATGTGAATTAAAGCACCTCAACTCCACGCCGGGCATTATTTCCCAGCGACCAAGAGCTTCAGAAGATTTTTCTGCTCTGTAAGCCAGGGCCACAGCTCTGGTGCTTCAGCAAGGAGACACCCGGCTCCCCCCTCCACAGCCCCCTCGCCACCCCAACCCTAAAGACAAGGGGTCACCGTGCTGGGACGGTGATGCCTGTGAAACCCGGGCGCCGCAGAGCCCTGGGGCAGCGGCGGGTGCCCGGCCAAAGCTGAGGAACCCAAGGGCTCTGGGTAAGTAACCGCAGAGGATCGGCGCGGCGGCACAGCACGGGCTCACCGGGGCCGTGCAGGAACGTGGCTGCATACGTACTTGTTGGCTCGGATCCCTTCCCGGCGGGAAGCCAGCCCTTCGGCCACGAGGGACTCGGCAATGTTCTCGCCGCTCGTGTCTGTGGAGAGAGGAGGAGAGGAGTCAGTGAGAGAAGCTGCCAGCGTGCGGGGCGGCCCGCGGGCACGCAGACCTCAGTCTGGGAAAGCTCTCCCAGGGAGATTCCAGATAACAAGAGCCGGAGCAATCCGGGAGCAAAAGGCTCCCGTCACCAGCCCGGTGTCCCAGCAGCACGTGGCCGTCACGATGCACAGAGCAGAGTCACCCGGGGCTCTAAGCAAGCGGGAAGGTGACACGTTGCTCTGCCACGCTGCGAGGCCTGCTGTCACCCAGGCCATCTCCGTGGGGACATCCTCGGCACCCACGGGAGGCAGGCAGTGCCCTCCCAGCACCAAAAGGGGTCTCTGGATTTCCAACGAAAGGCCACGCCGCCGGCACGACCTGCAACGGGCACCTCCACACAAGGCAGCCTTCCTCTGCAGAAACACGGGGCTACGGGAGCCGGAGCCCCCACGCCACGGTCCGGGGTGGGGGGATGCCAGGACAGGGAAGGCAAATAAACAGGAGGATTTGGGCAGAATCCCCCAACTGCCCAGGCAGAAGGGAAGGCATGGGGTTGCACAGCCCCGAGCAGCAGCGTGGGGTGGCTGGGGAGGGGGTGTAGGGCACTGCCTGGACCCCCACCCTTCTTCCCCAGTACCTCCGCTCTGGCTCAGCCATCTCCAGTGAGCGACAGCAAGCTCCCAGCCCTCCAAAGCCCGGAGCTGCAGACAGCTGCCGCATCCCTGCCAGGGAAGCTGTCGCAGCAATTCGACATTAATAGTATTTAAACCTTGACAAACTTCATCAGGAAACATTTTATGCTTCATTTCTCACCTCCACGGTGTGACAGGCTGGGATTTAACAATAAGGACGACACCTACACGGGAGGCACCGCAGAAGAGTCCTTAACGTGGCAGACAACAAGGCTGCAGATGACTGGAAGGGAGCATTTCACTGATCACGGTGTCACCAAACAACAAAATCCCTTTCAAGGTTTATTTGTTGCAGACTGTGCTGTCAGGACCTGCCAGGCTTCCTGCTGAGGACAGCCCACGGGGTGGGAAAGTGGAGAGCAGCAGCTCTTCAAAACTATGAACCCCACCCCTCTGCATGCAGGGATCCCCATCCCAAAGGGCCTCCCAGTGCCCTGGCCCACGAGCAAACTGGAAGCTCAGGAATGAGCACGGGGGTAATGTGGATATCCAGTTATTCGTGGTCTCGAGGGACGGGCTCATCCTGACAGCTCGTAGGGCCCTGCGTTGCCCTTTCTCGCAGCCTGGAGGCCGTGGGGGTCTCGTGTTTCTGCGCTGGACCCCCACACGGACACGGGAGATGCTGGCTGGACCGTGCTGGGATGCAGCAGCGAGGAAGGCAGCCCTGGGTCACCCTCACAGCAGAGACAAGATGCTGGTGGAAAAGGGCTCCAGGCAGGGCTCCTACCCACCCTGGGCCACGCTGGACCTGGCTACGTCCAGCCGAGCCTGCAAACCTCTGAGAAGAGAGCTCCAGCCTCCTCGGGGAGCTGCGTGGCCGCAAACGCCCCCGCTGAGCCTCTGGTGGGGAACGGGGAGCCGGCAGCAACGCCGGGCTTCCCGGCCGTGCCCCAGAGCCGGTGGCCAGCAATCCTCATCCTGCCCCAGGAAAAGGCGCCGGCAACTCCTGCCGCAGACCCAGAGGGAGCCTCTCCCCTCCCCAACGACCATCACGGGCCACCTCCTTTCCCCCCCCGAGCCTCCTCCGTGCAAACCCCGCTTGCTCCCTTCGTGCAGCGCTGCTGGGGCAAACCCTGTCTGTGGCGGCGAGCGAGTACCGGCCGTTTGCTGCCCGAGCCAACCCACTGCAGGGAAGGCTCCGAGTGCCACAGCGATGCCAGGGAGCATATTTGGAAACCAGGATGCCTCACGGCACCCAATCACCCTTTCCAGTCTGAGCTGCAAGCAGGAGAGTCTGCAGAGACATGGGACCGAGGGCACCCGACTCCCCAGTCTGCACCAGACTTATGCCCAAAACTCAGCAGCCCCTGAGCTCCTTTACAGCCCTTGCACACGCCTGGTCCTTCCCCCAACTTCAGCGAGTTACCCCAGGGGAGGGGAGGCTGACAAGGAGCTCTGGCTGAGCCGACCTACACCCTGGTCGCATCCCAAATATCCCAGTCGTGGGGCTGTCCCAGCTCCCCAGCGAGCTGAGGTGCACGGTTCGCTTGGCGCAGCTCCTGCCCTGTGCCAAGCCAGTGCATCCATCTGTCCCAGTAAGCCCGAGCCGGGTGGCACCGGAGAACAAGCTGGGCTGTGGTGAGCACCCACTTCCCAGGAGCCCACCCGTGTCCAGTGGGTCTCATCCCCCTTCTCGAAACCCGAGGGCATGGGAAGTCCAAACGCAGCAGAGCGGTCCAGAGCCGGCAGCGGGATGCCGTCACCTCGAAGCCGCTTTCCCTCAGTTACTCTCACCAGGCTGTGTGATGCTTGAGGGGTAACCATGGGGAGAGAGACCCCAAAAACTCATCTGCCAGCGTGGCTGGAACCAAAATCAGCCAGGGCTGTTGGCAGAGGGGATGCAGCACCTGGCAGAGTGTGGTCCGGTGTCACGCTCACCACGAGAAGAGGCTTAAAGCCCACCAGCACCAAAAGGTGCTCTGGGCCAGGGAGAGGGCTGCCTGCAGGCATCGCGCAGCCTTCGGGCTGAGCAGCCAGGCCAGGCTTGCTCCCGGCGCTGCCGCATCCTCGGGGGCCGCAGGTAAAGCCGGTTCCTTCGGGGCGATTTCAATCAGCCAGAGATGAGCAAGAGATTTAGAATGACAAAAAAAAAAAAAAAAAAAAAAAAGATGGCCAGGGGAAACGTTGGGAATTCACCCAACGCCATGGCTTGTGTCCATACGCTGCCGTGCATCAACCGGCGGCTGCAGCTCCGAATGAGAGCACGGCAGCCGGCACCACCACCGGGCACTGCTCGCCTTCCGAAAGCTGGAGCTCCGTGCAAAAAAAAAAAAAAAAAAAAAAACCAAAACAAACAAACCACAACCCAAAAAAACAGGCGTGCATCCTTCTGCTGCCAACCCCGAGCCCCAACCCACCCTCTCGGACAGCAGCTCCGCGCTCCCCGCCAGCCCGCGGGGTGCCCGAGGGACCTCTCTGCGCTCACCTTTCCCCAGGTACACCATCCCGTACTCCCGGCCCTGCGGGGTCTTGTACTCCACGGTGAAGCAGACCTCCTTCCCGATCAGCTTCTTCCGCAGGAACTCGCGAGCCGGGAACCCCCAGGGCTGGAGGGAAAGAAGTCGACGTGAGCCGATGGGTCAAACGCAGGCGGGGAAAGCCCAGAGCCTCCCTGCCCTGGGGAACTCGCGCCCTTCCTCCACATGTGCTGCATCAGCCCAGGGCCGCGCTTGGAGGCTGTTTGCAGCCCACGAGCTCCGCAGAGGAATACCCTGTTATTCCGCAGGAGCAACACCTCCGCTCTCACCCCCCCGTTCCCCCCAGAAGGGGTCACGGTTGGTTTTCCAGCCGGCCTCGTGTTCCCCAAGCACAGCCGGACCCATCCGGCAGAGCCCAGGGAAGCTCCTGGGATAGAGGGCTGCGGCGATGCCGGGGGCTGGACCAGCCCCAGCTCCTGGGGATGTGGGGGGGGGCTCCTCCAGCTCCTGCCCGAGGCTGCGTGGGGGCCCACGGCGAAGGAGCAGAGTGGGACTGGCCACGGTGGCCGTGCCCAGCCGGGAGAAACGGGCTCCAGCATCCCCCAGCACCGAGGCAGGAGCGCACCGGAGCCCCGGTGAGCTCAGCCCCACTCCACCGCAGCGGGTGGGTGGGGAACGCGGTCCGGAGGAGAGAACATGACGTGCTCATAAACAATTAGCAGACCTGACAGGCATAATTTTTTAAAAGAGTGACATTTAAAAGGCTGAAGCAGTGTTTCGAAGACAAACTCCCCAGGGAGAGCAATTAGCTGCCAGCGCTCTGCACCACCCCCGGGGCTGGGAGGATGGGTGGCCGGGGCAGAGCTCCCTCCGACACAAACCCACCGCTGCCGGCACGGGGAGCCCTGCCTGCACCCAAGCTGCCAAAGCAACACCCCCGTTTCCTCCCATGCCCTCAGCCCCGGGGCAGGCAAAGCCCTGCAGAGGAAGTTTGGAAGCTTCACCGGCTTCCCCTACTCCTTCAGATCTTGCCCAGCCGTGCCTGGTCCTTGCTAGGGGACGTTGCCTGTCCCATCCAGGCACACGAGTGACCACAGCAGGGTGAGGAAGGAGAATTCCACCCCAAAGCAGTCCGTCCCGCGTGGGATGGCAGCAGCAGGTCTGGGAAGGGGCAATGGCCGAGCTGAGGGTGCTGTGGTCTGCAGAGCTGGCCCAGCAGCCTGGCAGCACCCTGTGACCCTCGGGGCACGGCGGGGTGCTGCGTGGCGCGGCTCGCAGGAGGCACCCACCTCGTCCGGGGTGTCCTTGGCATCCGGCTGGCCCGCGGCAGCGCGGCGGGCGAGGTTCCCGGCACGGATGTTGCTGAGGTTGATCTGGCGCTCGGGGGGTGGCCCGCCTCGGGGCTGCCCACGGACGATGATGGCACAGCCTGACAGCACCTGCGGGGAGACAAAGGGGTTACGGGGGGTGCCCCGGCCTCAGTAGCAGCAGCCAGGAGGCTGGGGAGGCAACAGGTGACGGAGCTGAGCACGCAAGCAGGCGATGAGGCGCGGACAGACAAGACTTCCAAGGGCTGGATCCTGCTCCAGGCAGGGAAACTCGCAGGGCACCGTTTCTCATGGGCCTGGCAGAGGCAGGAGCTGCCCCAGGTTTCCTGCTTGGAGATGAAGGCTCCCCACCCTGTGCCCTCGCAGCAGTCCCTGTCACATCCCATCCCCTCCTTCGGAGCACGGGGTGCTCGCAGTGGGTAACACGGAGTTGTCGGCAGATTGGGATTTTACACCCAGTGCTGACCTGTGATGAGCCCAGCTGGGCCATCCCCCTGCTGCTTTGGCTGCCGAGGGCTCTGAGCCCGGAGCATCCCATCCCAGGGCAACCCCCATCCCATCCTGTCCCATCCCCCCCGCTGCCGCAGGGGGACCCCAGCATTCGGGACAGCACCCCAAGGGGACTCGGCACGAGGGCTTTAACCACCTGGGCTGCTCGGCACAGCCTCGGCGAGGCTTGAGCCAGGACCACACTCAGAATGGGTGCTTTTACCTACCCAGATGCTAAGACTTATACTGGGGGGGGGGGGGGGTTTACCCACTGGGAGCGAAGGGACCGCAGGCACTGGTGGTGGCTGGCCGCACCCTGTGCCCATGGGTGCTAACCTCAGCCAAGCGACTGCATCGATGTCTGACAAACAAACCCCACACAGAGAAAACTGCTGGGAGGACCCCTAAAAACGACCCGAAGCGGACCTCTCCTCCTTGCACCCGACTCGACGACAGCGACCGGCATCACCCTGCCCTGCAAAAACCCCAGCTGTCCCTGTACGAGACCCCCAAAGCCACCCACCCGCCAGCCACGGCGTCGGCAGGGCCAGCGCCGGCCGCCAAGCCGGGCTCGCGGCCAGGCAGAGCGAGCGTGCCGGGGATCACCCTGCTCCCGTTTTAATCGGCGTTGGCTCCCCCCGCAGTGGGATTGACGCTGCCGAGGCGGCTGGCGGAAAACCTCCGGGTCGGATTGCAGCGCGCGGCCCTGGCTTGCTGCCCACCCGAAATCCCCACGGATGCTCACGGCGCGTCCCAAAGCCAGAGGACTCGTCCCCTGCCACGGGCTCACACCGAGCCTTGCCAAAGCCAGCCCCCCTCCCCAGGCCGACCCCGAGGGTCTGGTTGCACCACGGCATCACGCTCGCTGCCCCACACCAGAGGCCGGCACGCTGCGTGAGCTGCTGGGAATCGAGCTTCAAATTAAGCCTGAGCCACACACAGAGCGATTACCTGGCAAAGGCTCAGTGCTCGATACTTAAGGACTTAGAGGTTTCATCACTGTAATTAACCTTAATCTTTAATTTATAGGGCATGGGGAAACAAGTCGGATGCTGTAACTGTTTTATCCAATTACCAATACAAGCCCTGGATCTGGGGAAGGGGACGGGTTGGTTAGTTGCTCTGTGCCCTGCAAGTGCATGCCGTGCTTTGGGGTGGGCACATCGTCGTCCCCTCTGTGTCCCTGCCCATGAAGAAGCCACATCATCGTCCCCCTCCGTGTCCCCGTCCCTGCCCGGGGAGCAGCCACGTCACCTGCCCACCTCTCCCTGGCCGGGGAACCACACGCACCTTCACAAGCAGCAGCTTCTGGCCAGGCTTGGGCAGCAACGGGACCAGGAGACCACCCCAGTAGCCAGATTTCACCCTCCCAAGGACAGCCCCAGCCACGCTCCCCTGCCCTGCACAGCCAAAGCCAGCCCAGACACCCCATCAGCCCTGCCTCGTGCCCCTCGTGCCCTGCGCAGAGAAAGCTGCTTAAACGCTTAAACCGCCCCGCAAAAGCTGTAGTTAAGCACAGGCTGAGCCGAGAGCGCGATGGATGCGCCGAGGCCGGGGTCTGGCACAGGGACACGGGTTGGATGGAGCCAGCTTCTGCCACAGAAGCATCCCCGAGTTTGGGGGGGGGGGACGACACAAAACTGAGGTCCCACCGGCACTGCCAGCATCTGGAGCCGCAGCGTCGGGGTGAACAGGGTGACCAAGAGTCGCAGGAGCAGGAAGGAGGGTGCCGAGAAGCAAAGGCAGGGTCGCAGGGCCACCAGCCACCCAGCTCTCCCCGGTCACCTGGAGACTCACCAACGCGGGCCCCACGCTCAGCCCCAAAGCGGGGCTCCCCCTCCGTGTCACGCTGTGCTGCACCTCTCCACGTGCTCAAGCCCCCCCCCAAAAGAAGCCCCTTGTCACCCCATGGGGCAGAGCTGCAGCCACGCCCGACCCCCATCAGCTCCCTGCTCCTGCTCTTCCCACCCTGCTCCGCTGCACTGGGATGAGCCCCCTCCCGCTCTCAAACTTAGCAATTTCAGGGGAAACACACACCAGGACAGTGGAGGAGGAAAAAAAAAAAAAAAAAAAAAGAAAACCTCAAAGTTCAAAAAGCTGTGATGGGAGCCACAGCGGAGCACGTGGCCAGCACCACTCCGGCTGGCCCCACCACGAAGCAGAGCAGCGACTGCAGAGAGCCAGGGACCCCCACTTCTCCAGGGTGCCCCCCCCCCACGAGCAGGGATTTGGGGCTGGGTGCCCTGGAAAAAGAGAAGGAAGACGCCCCAGGCAGAAGTCCCCCAGCATCCACCCCGCAGGCGTGGGGCAGCGGGTGGCCCCCGGGGGCCCTCTCAGCCATCCCACCCCACAAACCACGCTACGGATCCGCGTCCCCTCGGGCGGAGCCAGGCCGGCACGAGCAGCTTAGGGAGGTTTTTTCCTGAGCGTCCCCAAATCTGCTTGTTGGGGATGAGAGCGGGAAGGGCTCCCCACGCCCCTGGCGAGCTGAAGCGCAGGGAAGGCCGTCCCCAAACCTCCGGTGCCCCCAAACCTCCAGCAGCACCAGTGGGAGGGAACACTGGGACGTGGAGGCGATGTCAGGGCCAGATCCCTGCAGCTGCTGCCGGGCCCTGACCTTCACCCAGTGCCGACACACGCGGGGGGGGGGGGGGGGGCTGGGGGACCCCGTTTCACCGCTGCTTCCCGTAGGGATGCGGCCGGCACGGGACGAAGAGGAGGGAAAGGAGCTGGCGGGGCACCCCGAGGGATGTCGCGGCCGGCCATGTCCCCAGCGGGAAGTGGGGTGCCACGAGGCTGCCGCTCGCACCGCCGGGGAACCCCGAGCTTCCTCCGGGCCGCGGGGCCAGCGGAAGAGCGGGACCACCGGCCCCTGGCCCACCAGCCAGCCCCAGGCACGTGGGGGGGGACACCCCAAAGCTCTTCCTGCCCCTTCCCAGCAGTTGGGGTGTCAGGCCAGCTCTGCCGCCGGGGTGAGGGGGCCCTGGGCACAGCCCCCCCATCCGGGGGGGTCCCCAAGATGCCAGAGAGCTGGGGGGAGGACCAGGAGGTACTGAGAGGGGGGGGGGAAGGCCCTGAGCAACCGGAGGGAGCTGCGGGAAGGGGGTGGGGGGGTCCCGGTTACCGGGAAGGGAGGCGGGGGAGAAAGGGGAGCAACCAGAGCGGTCTGCGGGAGGTGAGAGGGGGGGTGTCCCGGGCACCGGAGGGGGCTGCGGGAGGTGAGGGGGGGTGTCCCGGGCACCGGAGGGGGCTCCGGGAGGTGAGGGGGGGTGTCCCGGGCACCGGAGGGGGCTGCGGGAGGTGAGGGGGGGTGTCCCGGGCACCGGAGGGGGCTGCGGGAGGTGAGGGGGGTGTCCCGGGCACCGGAGGGGGCTGCGGGAGGTGAGGGGGGGTGTCCCGGGCACCGGAGGGGGCTGCGGGAGGTGAGGGGGGGTGTCCCGGGCACCGGAGGGGGCTGCGGGAGGGGAGGGGGGGTGTCCCGGGCACCGGAGGGGGCTGCGGGAGGGGAGGGGGGGTGTCCCGGGCACCGGAGGGGGCTGCGGGAGGTGAGGGGGGGTGTCCCGGGCACCGAGGGGGCCGGGAGGTGAGAGGGGGGTGTCCCGGGCACCGGGGGGGCTGCGGGAGGTGAGAGGGGGTGTCCCGGGCACCGGAGGGGGGGCTGCGGGAGGTGGTAGGGGCCCTGAACAACCGGAGGGGCCTGCGGAAGGGGGGGGGGGTCCCGGGCACCGGAGAGGGGTGCAGCGCCGGGCCGGGCGGGCGGACACACGAGGCGTCGGGCGGAGCGGAGCGCAGGAGGGCCGGCGGGGGCCGGCGGGCGGGCAGCGAGCCCTTACCATTGACGATGCCGCGCTGGACGGCGAGCGGCGGCGCGGAGCCGCCCTGCCCGGGGGAGGCCGCGGAGGCCATGGCGGGACGGAACGGCGGGGCCCGGGGCGAGAGCGGAAGGGAACCGCGGGGCGGGGCGGGAGGAGGGGCGGGGCCGCGCAGCGGAGGGCGGGGCCTCCGCGCCGCCCCGCCCTCCACCCCGGCCAACGGCCAACGGGAGGCCGGCCCCGCCGCTGGCTCCGCCCCGCCCCGCCGCGTCCCGGCCAATGGGAGGCGCGCCGCCGTCGCACCGGCCGGAGAGGCTGAGGCGACGTCACGGGAGGCTCCGCCTCCTGCTTCGCCCGCGCCCGCCCTCCCGCCCCGCGGACCGGGGGGGGGGGCGGGACTTCCGGGGCACGCGGCGCCAGGGACACGTCGGCAAAGGGGCAGCCCGCGCTCCCACGTGGCCTCCCGCCGCGGGGGCGGGGCCTGGCGGGGGCACGCCCCCCTCCCTTTGCGTCACCACTCGCCCGCCCGCGTGCAGCGCCGGCACCCCGAAACCCCCAAACCCCCCAAACCGCCCCCGGCCCCGAGCGGGGGGAAGGGTGCCGGGGGGAGGGGGGCCCGCTGCGCGGCCCCGTGGGGAAACCGGAGTCCCCCAGCACAACCCCATTGATGGACTGGGGGGAAGGGGTCCCCAGCACGGCCCCACGCGGGAACTGGGGGCAGCAGGGACCCAGCCCCCCCCACGCAAAGAACGGGGGGGGGTCCCCCCCCCCGCAGAAGATTAGGGAAGGGGGTCCCGCAGCACAGCCCCACGGGGGAACTTCGGGAAAGCAGGGGCCCCCAGCACAGCCCCCACGCAGGAACTGGGGGAAGCAGGGACCCCCAGCAGAGCCCCACACGGGAACTGGGGGAAGCAAGGACCCCCCAGCACAGCCCCACGGAAGGTCGGGGACAGGGGTCGCCCAGCACAGCCCCACGGGGGGGTTAGGGGAGGGGTGTTCCCCTGCATCTTTTGGGGAGTGGGATCCCCATGCTGCCTCCCCCCGGCCTTCCCCACCAGCAGCTCTGTTCCCCCGGGATCGCCCCCCCGTGCACCCCCAGCACCCCTGACTCCCACAGCACCGCTGGCTGCGCTCAGGGGGGGCGGGGTCACCCCCCCCCCCCGGTGTCTACCCCCCACCCCGTGCCAAG